CCTCCGCCTCCGCCTCCGCCTCCGCCTCCGCCTCCGCCTCCGCCTCCAGGAAGGTCTCTGGTGCTCTCGTTCTAACGCGTTTCACAGAAGACCATAGTCCTCGTTTACAAGGAATAAGAAGTTCCTCGGAGCCTGTCTGACAGGCCACGAGCGTTTGTTCCCTGAGGAATTTGTTAGAAGTATGGAAAGCAAAGCATAGTCACCCATACTGCAAGGGGGCTGCGCTCTCTGAGCAAACACTGGTGAGACCCTCCTGTCTTTAGGATGCTGTCTTATGCAGAATCCCAGCACAGAGGTCAGAAGAACGGGGACCATAGTGTCATGACCTCCCAAGGGGTCAAGCCAAGTCTGCTACCAATGAAAGACATGACTACATTTTTATTTAAAACAAACACTTGTCACTTGCTGCGAGGTGGTGGTGCATACCCTTAATCCCAGCACTTGGGAGGCAGAGGCAGGTGCATCTCTGAGTTGGAGGCCAGCTTGTTGGAGGACAGCCAGGGCTACATAGAGAAACCCTGTCTCGAGAAAAACAAAACAAAGCAAAACAAAAGTCAGCCTCTGTAGCACAGTGGCCCAGTTCTGTGTAGTTACACAGGGGGTGTGGGAGGTTGTCTGGAGATTTTAGTGTTCCCTATCTCTATCCCACAAACCACTGACAACTGGCTTCTTGCTAAGAAAACCAAATTGGCCCTGCCCTTGTCAGCACCACACAACCCCTTGACAACCCCTGTGCACAGAAATGGCACAGAGAAACCCTGTCTCAAAAAACCAAAAAATGCTCAAGGTTGTTGTGTGGGGAATTCCAGAAGCTTCCTGGGCAAAAATGCAGAACTGGAAAAATGCACATAGCCGACTTTATCGTGGCCTTTGATTGAGGCAAACTGTATACTCAAAAGTAAAACTTGTATCAGATCTGTAAAGGTTGAAGTTTACAGCAAAAGACAAACAAGACGTAGAGGTCTCAGGGGCCCACAGCTCCTCCGGGTGGATGGAGCCGGGCGGCCATCACTGACAGTGAGATGGGCAGTCTGGTCACCTGAGTCATCTTCAGTCTTTCAGGACCACTGGAGTCTGTCTGAAGTAAGTCTGTGCTGTCCCACAACCCATCCTCCTCCTGAGAAGCCCTGAGCTGTGACCTTGGAGAAGGCACCTACAGGCTGAGATTCCAGCCAAGGCCGGACATCACCCACCACTGACATCTGGGATGGGTGGGTGTTATGCACACACTGGGCAAGCACGCAGACTTCAAGTCTCCCCAAAGGTCCCAAGTCCTGTATTTGGGTTAGCAGCACAGTAAAGGCTTGGTCTCTGGGTAAATAGGTCGGGTTTGCCCACTTGTTCGCCAGACTTGCTTTAAAAGTGTGAGGAAGCTAGACGGGACCCCCATGGCAAGCCCGCTCTGACGACCTCCCCCCACAGACATTTCCTTCCGATCTCCAGCTACAAACCCACAAATTCCATGCTGCAGGGATGTGGGGGGTATTCTCACGGAGTAGCGAGATACTCATCTAAGCACCCCTGTCTTTCTGCTCATGACGGGCCATTGGGGCACTTCCAGGGACCCCCAGAGCAAAGGCCAAGCAAGGTGCTTCTTCACAAGGCAAGAGCGTACGCCCACAACAACCGACCACTGGTCCCAGCAGGTTTCAAGGCTCTTTGTGTTTGGATGCCATGGACAAAAAACGAAGTTTCAGGCCAAGGTTAACCTGCGCTCAGGGACCCTGGGAGGCAACACCTGTCAATTATGGCTTCAGAGGGATCGCTCCTGGCATGGCTGTGTTCTGATTAAGTATGTCCGTGATGGCCTGTGTGCAACCATGTGGCTCTGTGGTAAGGCTAAGCAGGAGGGAGGGCAGAGGGCAGAAGAGCTCTCTCTGCTCACCCAGCAGTGAGGAAGCTGGATGCTTTCTGCCCTGGATCCTTGGGGGAGTCCCCGCCCCTGGGGGAGTCCCCGCCCCTTCTCCAGGATGAGCTTCAGTCTTCATCCTCGGGGACTTCCCGCAGTCCCTCACTGTGCCCAGCCCGTCCAGTGATCTCCAACAGGATCCGGGCGTCAGGATTTGAGTCCAGGATGCTCTTCTTGTTCTTGTCCTTGGGAAGAGAGGGAATGGGTGGGTTCAGGACGCACACAGGGAGAAAACAGTGGCCACCAGCTTAGACCACACAGTGACTCCTCCCAGTGGCTGGCTTATCAGACCGTAGTCACAAAGTAGCCAGGTGCCATGGTACCCTGAAGCCTCCCTGGCTGGGATGCAATTACCAGGGTCATGCAGAAATCTACTGTTCTTGCAGACAGGTAGGGTGGGCAAAGGGCCATCTAGCTGGGCAAGGTGTGCATCTCAGGCCCCACTCCCAAGGCAAACCCACACTCCACTTTGCTGCATATATCCTGGCACGGCCCATAGCTGGTAAAGCCAAACTGTCCCCAGAGGGAGAGCAGGCGCACACACACAAACACACACACACACACACACACAGAGCAGAAAGGCTGCGGCTCTGTATAAGGTCACTGCCGTGTAGGACTTACCTGATATGTCTCTGAGGGGTTGCCGAGTCCCCACACCTCCATCTTATCAAACAGGAAGTCCTCCTGGGCAGACAGCTGTGGGCTGTTGTATGTGGTGCACGCGGGCTTGGCCTTGCTGTGTCCTTTCCCAAAGTCGGCAGCCACCCAAAGCCCAAAGTAATGGTGCTGCCCACCCATGCCCTGTAGAGCAGGTGGGGACAGGTGACAGTGTCAGCAGCCACGCCAGAGGAACAGGAGGATACTGAGTTCTTGACTAGCTTCAGTTACAGAGAGTTCTAGGCTAGCCTGTCTAAAAGACCTTGTCTCAAAAAAAAGGAGTAGTAGTGGAACCAGCCAGAGACATGGGGAAAGTAGGAATTCCAGACCTGTTTTCTTTTCCTGGGCAGGCTAGGGGTGGCAACTCAGTTACTCCTCTTCCCACTGCCAGGCTCAAGCCAGGTGTTACCCTGCCTCCCTGACAGCTTTGTCCTGATGTCACCTCCGTCACACCCTCTTGTCCCTGGTGGGCCTGGGGAACATGAAGTGACAACCTTCCATCTTGGACATATAGAGATCTTAGCCTATGTCTAGAAGCTGCTCTTGGTCCCCAGGACAAAGACAAATGGTTCCTGTGGATGTTGAGACTATTCCTGGGGCTGACAGACAAGCCCGTTCTGGGAGGGGTCCCGTGCCTAAACTCTGATGTCCTGGTCATCTGGCCATGTCCCTCTCGCTTGTTGAGGTAGCATCCTGGGAGGGAACCCCTGACCCTCTCTAGTGGGAAGCCTTGACTCTCACCAAATACAGATGAGAAGACTTACTTGTCAGGAAGCAGAACAAAGAAAAAAAGACAGCAGGCTGGGTGGCTCTCACCCATGCCAAACATCCTTGCAGGTATCTGTCCCGCTACATCCAACTGCCATTGCTGACCTGGCCTCCCCTCCCCTGCTCTCCCCTCCCCTGCTCTCCCCTTCCCTCCCCTCCCCTCTCCTCTCTCCTGTCTTTGCCTTCCTGTGGCTAGCAACAGGCAAGAAAATGGCTACCACAAGTAGAGCCCTCACAAGTCATTTCTGTCTCACGAGTTACCACTAACTAGACTCAGTGCCCAGAGCCCTCAGCTCAGGGATCTTCCACCACCGCCAAGCTCAGCACACGGGCTCACTGTGCAGGCTCAGCACGTGAGGTGGTCGTATCGATGTGGGGCAGGATGGCAAGTGACTTGTGATGTGTCCGCCACCAACACGCTCTCAGGACACAGACTAATCACTTGGGGTCTGGGAAAAGGGCCAGGCTGTTTGCACACAAACCATGGGGAAAACCTAGCAAAGGTACGGCGCCCCCTGAGGAAGATGTGCCCTGGTATTGGCTCTCGGCACACACCACGCGGAGAGCAGCCCACCAGGCTGGTGGGACGCCCCCACTCCCCGCCTGCTTACCAGTCCATTGGGCATGGTCTGCTGTCCGCAGTTCAAGTACATGAAGTGGTTATTGTAGCCTGTGTACAGGTGTGTGGCCATTCTGGGGGCGATGGAGAACAGGAAACACTTGTTGTCCCCTGAAAGTGACAGAGAGCCAAGGAAATAGTCACTGCCCCTGAAGCAGGCACAGAGAACTGCAGACGCCAACAGGCTGCATCTCAGAACACAGCAACAAGGATCTTGTGCCTCTCCGGGGAGGGTATGGAGTGGTGGTTGGGGGGATAGGCCCCAGGCCCCGCACAAGACAAGCCTTACGGATGTCTGGGAATGCTGATGGAGAAGGAGAGGGCCCAGGGATCCGATGTCAGTGACTGGACAATGCGATCACCTTCAGACCTGGCCACCGGGGCTGAGTCCAAAGCTCTCCCACCATTTCCCAGTGTTAGCACGGACCAGCCAGGAACATGAGCATGGGACCAAGTGGGTCTCCTAACTGATGAGCCAGAGGCAGGTGGTCACCATGGAAATGTGGACAGCTGTTGCACAGGTCAGTGTGTGTGATGTGGCACGGGGCTCCCCCCCACATAGAGAACCCGCTGTGCAGGAGACAGCACACCTCCAGGGCTGCCGGGACGGGAATGGACAGAGCACAGGAACTGTCTACTTCATCCCAGGATGCAGGGCAGGGACATGGGATGTAAAAAGGATGCCACTCAGCCAGGTGTGGTAGTGCACTCCTAGAATCCTAATACAGGAGCAGCTGAGACAGAGGGATTGCCTTGAGTCTGAGGCCAGCCTGGGTTACTGAGTTCCGAATCAACCTGAGCTGTAGCATGACCCTCTTAAGAGGGAGAAAGAGCAAGGAAGAAGGAAAGAAGGGAGGGGCAGGGGGGAGAGAGGGGTGGGGGCTCGATGGTACGTGCCTTTCATCCCAGTACTCAGAATCTCTGTTTGAGCTCAAGGCAGCCTGGTCTACATATGTAATTCCAAAATAGCCATGGCTACATAGTGTCTCAAAAAGAAACAAACAAACATACAAACAAACAAAAAGAAATCCAAGGAGGTGGGAGGGAGGGAAGGAGAGAGTACTGGGGTGGAAAGAGTCAGTCAAAGCCCCAGCACAGACAAGAGCCTCCATTCCCCTGACTTCTTCGTTTGGATAGAAAAGCCAAGTGGCATCTCTCGAGGCCCAGTGCCTTTCAATGGCTACTGGGCCCCATGACACCAAGCAAAAGGACGGGACCGCGGTCTGGGCCAAGGAGGCCGCATTGGGAAGATCACCCCCCAGTTCACCAGCGAGGACCTAAGAGCCCTGCCGTGCCCTTCTGAGCCTGTCAGAGCAGCACCACAGCATGGCACAGTGCTTTCTACCTGCAGCAAACACAAGCAAGCGGCACGGCTGGTCATCACACAGGGAAAGGACACACAGAGAATAAGCACCAGCCCAGAGCTGAGACGCAAACTCCCGGCTGCTCAGGCCGAAGCCTCGGAACACCAGCACATCAGGGAAATGGCCTTGGCTGGGGCATGGTGACAAAACATGGCCTAACATGCTAGCATGTGCAAACATGGCCTACTAATGCGCTAGCATGTGCAAACATGCCCTAATGCGCTAGCATGTGAGAACCTGGCGTGGGATTCCCAGCACCAAGAAAAAGAAGTCACTAAAGCCAAGTGCCATTGGCTCACAACTCTGAGCTGATGACTAAGACTCTTCAGGCAGGCATGGCTGCCCTCTGCTGGAGCTCCAGGCTCATGATGCAGAGGAAGTGAGGTCTGGAAGCACCCTCCTCACCAGCGCCAAGCATGCCTGTTTCAAAACCACCGAAACCCAGACCCGCAGCACTGCCAGAGGTCAGCGCAAAGGCTCTGGAGGAAGTGGAGTTCTTCTTGATCTCACTCAGCCCTTGAGTGGAGCCTGCGGGGGTCACAGTGAGGTGCAGCCTGCCCTGGACTGTCTGGTAGGGTGGAGGGCAAGCCCTTCCAAGGACAACATGGCAAACGGCACATACATGCAACAACCTTAGACAAACCATTCTGACCGGACGCTCTCTGGGGGATAGCAGTCCCCCCGCCCACGTTTCCCACCCCAGGCTCTAGAGCCGCATTGGCAGAGGGAAGATAAGGCAGCACTGAGGTACACTGTAACACCAGGCACCAGTGCTCTGGGTGAGAGCTGGCCACCTGTGGGCACAGGAAGCAGCCTGCCACCTGTGGAGGAGCCTGGGGACAGCTCCTATAGGGCAGTGACAAAAGGCTACAGCTGACTGGGTCACACATGGAGCCTCCACAGCCAACAAAGCCACAAAAGCAGAAAGGCTTGGAAATGGGGCAAGGCAACACCCATCGGGAGGGACAGAGCGGTGAACAAAAGCATCCCTGTGAAGAAGTGACTCACATCCCCTCCTGGGGATCTAGTGGCATCTGTGGTGTCCCCTGGAAGCAGGGTTGACTCCCTGGGCCAAAGAAGGGGTCTGTGATGCCAAACAGGAGCGTGGTACTTCTACTGCAGGTAAGAAACCACTGTGTCAGGAACCATATGTGTGCATGTGTATGCACATGTGTGTGCATGTGTGTGTGCATATCTGTGCATGTGTGTGCACTCATGTGTGCATATCTGTGCATGTGTGTGTACACATCTGTGCATGTGTATATACATCTGTGCATGTGTGTACATGTGTGTGCACATGTATGCATGTGTGCGCACATGTGTGTGCACATGCACAGATGTACACACATGTGTGCATGTGTGTGCATGTGTGTATACATCTGTGTATGTGTGTACACCTGTGCATGTGTGTACATATGTGTACATGTGCATGTGTGTGCACATGTGTGCATGCGCATGTGTGTGCATATGTGCACACATGTGTGTACATCTGTGCATGTGTGTACATGTGTGTACATATGTTCACACATGTGTGTGTGCACATCTGTGCATGTGTGTGTACATGTGTCTGCAAACATGTATGGAGTCCAGAGGTTGTGCCCAGGCATCGGCCATCCAACCAGCCCTCCCCAAGCTTCTCCAACCCCTCAGGGTTTAGACTCCTACTATGATTTGGGTGTGAAATCTCTCCCACAGGCTCACTTGTCTGAACGTGTGGAGCTGACTGTGGAGGGTATGGGACCTTTAGGCAGAGGAGGAGGAAGAACTTCACTGGTCTTAGAGGTTAGAGCCCAGGGCCACTTCTGCCCGGCCCCCACAGAAATGTGTGTGCATGCGTGTTTTGCCTATGTGTATGTATGTATCACATGTGTACCTAGTGCCCCCAGAGGCCAGAAGTCGGCATCAGATCCCCTGCCACTGGAGTTACAGACAGCTGTGAGCCACCATGTAAGGGTTGGGGCCCTCTGCAACAGCAGCCGGTGCTCTAAGCTCTGACCCTGCTGCAATGCTTTTAAAGCCACCAAGATGTAGGCAAGCCGCTGTCACCGGCTCCCACCACCACGGCTTGACCCCCATGATAAACTGTACCCCTGAAAACCGTGAGCCACGACAAGGCCTCTTGTCAGGTAGTTGGTCACGGCAACAAAAATGAGTGGCCTGGTTCTATCTCTGTTGCTCTGATAAGACCCAGAGAACAAACAGCACAGGACTGAGGGTGGTTTGTCTCATGATTCCAGATGACAGCTCATCATGTTAGGAAAGGTGAGGCAAGAACACAGCATCTAGGCATGCCATAGCCACAGTTGTGGCAGAGAGGGATCGCCCCCCCATGACGCTCACTAGCTCTCAGCTAGCCTTCTTCACAGAATGGCACCACTGACAAGGGATGGGGTCTTCCCATGTCAATTTGTCAATTAACAGCCTGCTCTGGACAATGCCTAAGACTGTTACAGTATCTTTTTTTCTCCTGATGTAACTGTTGTCTCTGAGGCTTCCTGTCTCCTGTCTGCTAACCTAGGCCTAGTCCTGGAAGCTTCTAGACTCCGTACAATCTCATCTAAGCCTAGAGTGTTTCCAGCCTCTGAGACTTGCTGCTGAATAAGCTCACCCTTTCTAGTTCTTTCTGAACTCTGGCTGGCTGGCTCAACTCAGCTGTTCTGGCTCAAACACCTCTCCACGCTGACTGATTCAATCTGGCTTCTCTCTCTCAGCAATCTCCTGAATATTTGCTCTGCCTAACCTCCAACTAACTCTGGCAATCTGTTCTAATCTTCTGGCTCCTTCTCACTCTCTGGCTCGTTCCGTCTTCACCTGTGTCTAGCTTGTTCTCGCTTCAACCTGTCTCTGTAAAACTCTCCTGGCTAAATTACCTCCTTCGTCTTTCCCTCTCTCTCTTAAGTAGCTTCCCTTTCCTCTCTCTTCTCCCCAGTTGGGCATATTCTATTCTGTCAAATCTTTCTCTGATTCGTACTTTGTCTGCCACTCAACTAGACATCACTCTTAAACATGGCTGCTTCCTTCTACAAACTAACTTTACCTTCATGGTTTGGGATTAAAGGTGTGTGTATGAAGGACCAGACTGAGCCACATCACAAGTAGAGACAGGTACTTTCAGAAAATAACATAATCTTGGGGCGGGTGGGATCACAGTGTGACCTGCAACATAAGACACCCTTCTCAGGGGCTCTGGGTTCGAGGTTGTGCCAGGTTGGCAGTTAGCACTGCCCAGTGTAGTACCCACTGCTTACCTTGGAACTGAGGCTTAATTTCCCAAGAGCAGGAAGCAAAGCCACCGAAGACGTAGCCATCCCTGTCCTCAAGGACAACCAGGCTGGGCCCCTGGTTCGTGATGTGGCTGCACAACTGGGAGAAGCTCTGTCCGTGGAGCTGTGTGGAGAACAGCAGGCGCCAGCGGTGGCGGTGCTCTGCTGCCAGGTGGGAGCTGAGGTAGATGACGGACAGCACATCCAGAATGCTCTCCAATGGCCTGCCTTGGTCCACGTGGCACTCGGGGACCAGCGTGGAAAGGTCAAAGGAGGAGCCCAGGAGGCACAGGCCCCTGTGGATGACCACACCCAGAAACATGCCCAGGTGAGGGACATGAAACACCCACTCCTCGATCATGGCTTGGTCGCAGATCTGGTCCAGGCACTGAGGGTCTGGAAACTGGTGGCCATCTAAGGAAAGAGAGAATCGGGATTGCTGAGTGCACGGTGCCACCTTCTGGTCACTCTCCAAGCCTTCGAAAACCTTCTGGCCACTGGGAGGTGGCTCATCTGAGCTGGGACATGTCTCAAGTCGAATGAGCACTCCCAATTTTAAACACCCGCTATGACAATTTACTGTCGCATGCCACAATATTCACATTATACAGATTAGAAGCATATTTTGAATTTTGAATATATTAGTAAAACTCTCTTCTCCATTTCTTTGTACAATCTTGTTCTTGTTGGAGGAAGGATCTCTTGTAGCTCAGGCTAGCCTCAAACTCACTATGTAGCTGAGGGTGACCTTGAACTCTCATTCCGTCTCCCAAGAGCTGATGTCACAGATATGTGTGTGCCACAACTAATTTATGCAGTGCTGGGACTCGAAGCCAAGGCCTTATGGATGCCAGCGCTACCGACTGAGCCACACCCCAAGCCTACTTTTGTTCTATATTAATGTGACCATTAGAAAAATCGAAGTTTCATGGGCTGGCCTATTTCGTTGTCTGGTATTGATTTGAACAGTTTGGCTCTGATACTCCCTCAGCCTTTCCCTCTCCTCAAAATCCACTTCAGAAGCCCGTGACAATGGGAGGTCTTCACAAGGAAGCCCAGCCTGGGAACCCCTCAGCTCCGATGTCCACGGAGATCACACTCAGCTGAGGGCAACAGAAGGCTGGAGACCTGTACTCTATCCTGGTGGGGTGTGGTTCGTGGAGCACCCGCTGGCCTACCTGGGAGGGGCAGGTTTCACCAACTACTAACCAAGCCTCTTCCCAAAACTATTCACAGTGTGGCTTCCCACTACCTAACTCCAAAGAGTTGGGGTGGCAGGATAACCTGTGGAACACCCATGGGATTTCAATTTGGGGTCCCCAGGTATAAAGCGGAGGTGATGCTAGAGCCTGCTAAGTTGCTATGGAGACGGGAGGAGCATATATGGTCAAACTCACAGAAAGAATCAAAGGCTCTGCTCACACTGTTCTCCAGGAGTGGAAACCCGAGTGTGAACTCAGTAGAGTTGATCTTTTTGTCGTTGTTAGTTTTGGAGACAGGGTTTCTCTGTGTAGCCCTGGATGTCCTAGAACTTGCTCTGTGGACCAGGCTGGATCTGTCTGCCTCTGCCTCCTGAGTGCTGGGATTAAAAGTGTATGCCATTACAACTGGTGGTAAGGTTGGATTTCGAACACCTTTGTCTTAAATGCCTGTAAGTCCAGCTCCAGAGGATCTGATAACCCTCTTCTGACCTCTGTAGGCACTCATGAGTGTACACATATATACACACGTAAATAAAACTAATTAGATGAGTTAAGACACTAAGAGTGGGGGGCTGGAGAGATGGCTCAGTGGTTAAGAGCACTGACTGCTCTTTCAGAGGTCCTGAGTTCAAATCCCAGCCACCACATGATGGCTTACAACCATCCGTAATGAGATTCGATGCCCTCTTCTGGTGTGTCTGAAGACAGCTACAGTGTATTCATATATAATAAATAAACAAATAAAAAAAAAAAGACACTAAGAGTGGTGGAAACCAAATCTTCACATGAGAACCTCTGGGATGCAGCCAAAGGACCGTTCAGAGGGAAACGTTATAGCTACAAACACCTACTCTGAAGAAGGCCGACCTCAACTGCATCATCTAAACCACAAGAAACTAGGAAGACAGGGCTGAGGGGACGGCTCGGTTGGTAAAGTCCCTGCCAAGCAAACCTGAAGACTTGAGTTCAGACCCACAGCTGTGTCCCTCTGCCCTCAGCACTGGGGAGGGGGGACAGACAGGTGCATCCCTGGGCTCCCCGGTCGGCCAGCCTAGCTGACTGGTAAGTCCCAGGTTCAGTGAGAGACCCTGACTCAAAATATAAGACAGTGAGTGGTTAAAGAAGATACCTAACATGAACATGTACAAACACACACACACACACACAAAATACACACAGAGATACATACATACACTACACACAGAGATACATACATACATACACACATACACACACCACACACACAAATATATATACATACACACACAATATACATAGAGATATATACATACATATACACACGTACACACACATACATATACACACATACACATATACAGACAGACATACAAAAATATATACACGCACAGAAACATACATACACAGATGCACACACACTACACACAGAGATACATACATTTACACACACAAACATACATATATACACATACACACACAACACATACATACACACACAGATACATACGTACATGCACACACATACACAGATACATATACACACACCACACATACAAACATACATAGAGACATGCAAACATACACACACACAAACATACATACACACACAAACATACATATACAGATTCACACATACATGCACACACATACATATACACATATCATACATAGAGACATACAAACATACATACACACACAAACATACATACACTCACAAACATACAGATATATGCACACATACATACATATACACAGATACACAGAATACATACATACTCACATAGAAACATACATATGTACATACACATGCAAACATACACACACAAACATACATGTACACACACAAACATACATGTACACATACAAACATAGATACACTGACATACAAACATATATACTCACATAGAAACATACATATATATACATACAGACAGACATACACACACACAAACATACATGTACACACATACAGAAAGTAAAAAGACACAATCAAGTCTAATGTCAACAGAAGTAAAATGGACCAGGAAAGCAGGAGAGAAGAATCTCCTAGACTGCTTTTAAAAACAGTTTTGTTTTTAATTCAACGGTCTGGAGAGACAGCTCAGCGTGTTAGACCGGACGCTGCTCTAGAAGAGGACCTGAGTGTGGCCCCCAGCACCCACGTCAGGCGGCTCACAACCACCTGTGACTCCAGCTCTTGTGGATCTGACGCCTTCTTCTGGCCTTCACTGGCATCTGCATGCACACACTCATACACAGACACACACACACACACACACACACGCAACTCACACGTATAAAAATAAACCTTTTCTAAAAAATCGACAAAAATACTGAGACCATTTCTGTAAGACTGACCAAGGAAAAGGATTTCAGACACTGAAACCAGAGGAGGGAGCGTGATGTCACAGCGGCTTCTGCACAGCTGAGGTACACAAGGATATCCCACAGCAATCGCAGAGCAAGGGAGGCAGGCACACGCCCACAGTAGAGCCTCCTGGGAGGCTCTAGTCATGGCCACTGCAGCCCTCCATCACGCCAAGGTCTGAATCAAGAGGACAGCCCCACACTTGCCTTGAAACTTCATCTCTGAGAGCAGCTGGGCAACCATCGCCTGCATACTGCTGGGGGGCGCCGCGGATTTCTTCCAGGTCCAGCCTCGAAGCTCATGCCGGTGGGTCAGCACATGCACCACAGAGGCCACCAGGTCCTCTGTGAACTGAGAGAGACATCTCTGTTAAAGCCAAACCTCCCCGACCCACTCCCCTTGCTCTGGAGCTGAGGACGATTCTGACCCTCCTGCCTCTATCTGCCAAGTGCTGGGATTACAGGTATGGGCCACTATACCAGCTACAAAAGCTGCTGGAGAGGGAGCTGTGGGCTTTGTGGACACCATGTGGACACTCCGCTAAGCGAGACTACATCCCTAAGCCCTCTTGACAAGGGTCTGACCAAGGTGCCTAGGCTGGCCTGTGACCCTCTTGAGTAGCTGAGACGTCAGGCCTGCGTCACCAGGCCCGGGCTTTCATTTTTCTAATTACACACTTAGCGCCCCTGAAAGCTCACCAAAACCCTAGTTCAAGGGTTCTGAGTCAACCAAACTGTTATGTGGGCTCAGTTCCCCAAGGCTGGCCAGCAATGTTACCTAAGCCGCTGTCCCCAAGTCCCCCACCCATGGACACCAAGTGTGTACCTTCTGGACATCTCTGGTCTTTGTAGGTCCCTCTGCAGCCGAGATCATGTTCATAAGCATGAGGCCCTTCTCCTCGCTGCTCCCTCTCAACAGCTGGGACAGGAACGCCGTGAACTGCTCCCTGGAAACGTTCTTGCAGCTCCCATGTGCCCTGTCTGTCGGCTTCACCCTCCGCATGCCGGTGTATAGTCTGGTGACCATCACTGGGGGAAGGGCCTCCTTGACATGGCTCTGTTGGGGACAAACAGAAGAGCGAGTTAAGCAGGGTTTAGGGGGGAACAAGCAGAGGGTAAGACCAACCGATGCTCTGCAGATGCCGCTTGCAACTGCGAGACCTTCCTGTGCCCCATGGTGCCATCTCCCCAGAAGATTTCGAAGTGTACTGGCTTGGTCTGAGGTAGAGCTCAGTGGTACAGGGCTCACTGTCATGTGGAAGGGCCCGGGGTTTGATCTGTAGCGGTGAAAATAAAAAAATGGAGGAGGAAGAGGAGGAAGAGGAGGAGGAAGAGGAGGAGGAGGAACAAGAGGAGATGGAGAAGAAAGAAGAGACAGAGGAGGAAGAGGAGAAGGAAGAAGGAAGAGGAAGAAGAGGAGGAGGAGGAGGAGGAGAAGGAGGAGAAGGAGGAGAAGGAGAAGAAGAAGAAGAAGACAGAAGCGGTGGTGGTGCACACCTTCAATCCTAGTACTCAGAAGCAGAAGCAGGAAGATCTCTGAGTTCAAAGCCAGCCTGGTCTATAGACCAAGTTCCAGGACAGCCAGGGCTACACAAAGAAACCATGTCTCAGAAAACCCAAATAAAGAAATGGGACCAGGCCGGGTGGTGGTGGTGCACGCCTTTAATCCCAGCACTTGGGAGGCAGAGGCAGGCGGATTTCTGAGTTTGAGGCCAGCCTGGTCTACAGAGTGAGTTCCAGGACAGCCAAGGAGAAACCCTGTCTCAAAAAAACAAAAACAAAAAAACAAAAAAAAGAAAAAAAGAAATGGGGAAATGGGACCAAAGGCTCTCCAGCTCATCATGGCCATCAGACACATCCTGTCTAGCCACTACCTGCACCTCACTCCCCAGCCTCCCCAGACCAGACATGTCCTTCCTGCCTCTGCCGCTCACTCTGCCTGGAGCCCTGTGATCTTAGATTCCTTTAGCTGCAGCACCCGTCTACATGGGGCTGCTCTGTATTAGCTGCATTCCTTCTGTGTTTTAAACTATTCTCAGTCTTGTTTCCCTTTGCAGTGCTGCAGAGGGAACCCAGAGCCTCATGCATGCCCGGGGAAGCACTGCCCACTGAGCTACAGCACCAGCCGTGAGACCTTAACATCCTGCAAACAGAACAGCTGAATTTGAGGATCAAATGTGACAAAGAAGTGGAAAAAAGAGTGTTTCTCACAAACGGCGTCACATGTGTCCTGCGGAGCAGGGTCTGTGTGCTGGACCCTCGCAGCACCTCAGAGCACCCATAGCCTGTCCCGATTGAACACTGCGGTTGCTGTCAGGCTCATCCCTCGTGCATGGAAAGGGTCTTCCTCAAAATCCTGAGGCATAGGAGCCACTACGGCCTCCCCTAAAGAAGATTCACGAGCCTCATAGCCACCCGTCACCATGTGCCTCGACTGATACTGTGGGCTTGACTGTCTACTCCGGCCGAACCTTAGTCACCCGCATACACGCGTGTGCATGCACACATATACACGTATGCCACATGTGGGGGTCCTTCACTTATGGAGCAACTGGTTGGCTGACCGTGATGGTGGCTCCCCAAAGTCCCCGTCCGCTGCCTTCTGTGTGCTCTAGGACAGCGGTTCTCAGCCTTCCTAAGGGTGCGCCCCTTTGATACAGTTCCTCATGTTGTGGTGACCCCCAAACAGAGAATTCTTTTTTTTTTAAGATTTGTTTATTATATTTATGTGAGTACACTGTAGCTGTCTTCAGACACACCAGAAGAGCGCATCAGATCCCATTACAGATGGTTGTGAGACACCATGTGGTTGCTGGGAATTGAACTCAGGACCTCTGGAAGAGCAGTCAGTGCTCTTAACTGCTGAACCATCTCTCCAGCCCAGAGAATTCTTTTGCTGCTGCTTTGTAACTGCAATTTCGCTACTGTTATGAATCAACAAGTGGATGTCTGTGGTTTCTGATGGTCTTAGGGGCCCCCTGTGAAAGGGTCGGTTGACCCCAGATGGGTTGAAACCCACAGGTTGAGAACCGTTGCTCTCGAGGCTAAAGGTTTTGAATGGCTTTGCAGATGTACCCATCCCCGGCCTCTGGAAATAATCTGATGTTTGCTTGGGTCCCCGTCCAGAGAAGCATGGTAGTCAGTCACCCCCAAGAAAATAGCCAACTCTCCCCTCTTAAACTGAGACTTTGGTGCTGAGTGAAGACACTGTGAAGTTCCCTGACCACATTCTACAGGCAACAGACAGCTGAGACACCAAGCGTGGTCTGGGTCACCACCCGGAAGGAGGCAGCTGTTCCAATGTCACATGTGGAGTTAGAAAAACCCCGAACACTCTCCCCTCACAATCCAGTAAGTCCTGTCCCTCGCCCCGCCTCCCTCCCTTCCTCCCTCCCTCCATCTTTCCCTCTGACCTTTCCTCCTGTTTTCTGAGACAAGGCCTCACGATGTAGCCCTGCACTGATGTCTCGGTGACCTTCCTTAGTCAGCCTCCTGAGTGTGTGAGACCACCGGCATGTGAGACCATGCCGGGCACCAGGTCCTTGCTTTAGTACACATAAGTCCCAGCAACTCGCAAGGCTAAGTAGGAAGAGCCACTTATCAAGGCCAGCCTGGGCTATACATTGAGTTCGAGGCTAGACCAGTGTTGGCTATACACCAAGACTCTGTCTCAAAAAAACAAGGGTGAGAGTATTGTTCGCCCATGGCCCATGGCTACTTTCTACCCTACGAGGACAGATCACTGTAACTGTGACATAGTCATAGAGCCAACCACACCAAAAACAGGGGCCCTTCACCAAAAATCAGCTTTTTAGTGCTTGGCACAACTGCAGACCCTAAATCCCACCCCCATGTGGCCGTTCTTGCCTTCAGCACCTCCAGAGAGAATGTCCCCGTTGCCACACCGCCTTCTCTAGATGACAGGGCATCAAACAGCCTGTCCACCTCAGCCTGCTCCTCGGGCAAGAACCTTGAGGCCATCCTCTGGTCCGACAGGCTCTTGGCATTCCCCATCTTGCCCGCTCTCTGGAGCTCTCTGCAGACCAGAAAGAAAGAGAAAAGCCACTACGTGAGAGTTGTGAGAGTCGCACAAGTATTGAGGGCCCAGGGTCAGGGACTGACCGCTCACTGCAAAATGCAGCTAAAATACTTTTAATGGAAATTTGAATCTGATGGGGTGGAAATTAACCGTGGACACATCTGAAAGTACGAAGGCCCCGAGTCAACGGAAGCAGCCTGGATTCCTTCTCAAAACACACTCCTTGGCACTGGTGTGGTGGCACGGCCCATAATCCTACCATTCAGGAGACTAAAGCAGGGGTGGTGGTGGTGGTTGTGAGCGTCAGGCCAGCCTGAGCTACATAGTTAAGTTTTAGCACTCCTTTTCATGGCTGTATAATATGCCATTGTATGGACATACCACATTTTGTTCACCAGTCACTAACTGGCAGGCATCCAAGCTGCTCCCACTGTGGGGCTGTTACAGAGAGTGCTGCTGCAATCCTGTATACTTGAACCTCTCTTTTTGGGTCTCTGTATTCCACCCACGGGTTTCAACCACAAGGTCCCACACTCTCCACAACCTTGCCAACCTTTGTGCTTTGCTGTCTTTGGGTGGTTGGGGCCCTGCTCTCGACAGGCTTCCGTGCTACCAAGTTTCCCCTGAAGACATGCCCCTCCAGAGGGCTCAAGGAGGCGGGCTGGAAACGGGGCTCGCTTAGCACTCCCCTCCCCCAACATTCAATCTAACTGCTTTAAAGATTCTCAGCGGCAGGTCCAGCCTGCACACCACAGCCAGGAGCACAGGCTGGCCTCACCTTGAAAGTGAACAGACAGCAGCACGGCTGAACCCCATCCCTCCAGGGACACAGCCTCCCACCCCCACCCCATCCCCCATCCCATATCCCCACCCCTCCCACCCACCACCCACCTCTCCCACCCACCACCCACCCCCGGAAGGCAACCCCAGCCGCAGCTCAGCCATCTGGGACTCAAGTTATCCGTGGCCACAGCTGAGTTTTAAACAGCCACAGACTTCCAGGAGTGTGGTCACCAGATACAATGTTGCAGCTGTTTAGGGAAGGGGGATGGCGGCTGCTTAGGAAAGGGACCATGAAGAATAATGTACTTCAAAGCAACTAGAAGGGCAGACTTCCCGCGTCCAGGGTGACAGCTATGCGGGTCACCCAGACTTGGAAGCACAGCAGGGGTTCACTGAGGCCATCTGAACACCAGGAACAGTGTGGTGATGCCTCGGAGTATCTGGAGGCAGGGTTGGGACAATTATAATGGAAAATGCCAACGTAGCTCTGGGCCTGGGGTCAGAGCTGCAGACCACGGGAGGGGACAGTGCAGTGACTCGGTTTCTTAATTTCCACCCAAGAAGGGCTAGGGCATAATTAGGAAGGGAGGTTGGCAGCCATGGGGATGGGAAGCGACAGACACTGGGTCATGTGGGTATGTACACGGTGCCTGCTCTCATCTGTGCAGCCTGGCCTTGCCCTCCATAGGGGAGTGGGAGGGCTTAATGATACCGCTGCTGCAGACTGACTGTGTGCACGGGAGAGCCTGCCCCCTGCCACAATACAAGGCAGCTATTGGCTGACACACACTAAATTTACCAAGACCCAAAGGCCCCCGCAACCCCGCAGCCCCGCAGCCCTGGACCTTTCCAGGGCATCGCAGCTACAAGAGATCTCAGGTTTTACTTCTCCCTTCCCAAAAGGCATGTGGATTTACCAAAGTCACCAAAAACGTTGCCACTGTTTCTCCCTGCGCCCTCCTGCAGATGACAGGCCTGTGGCAGTACACCCAGGTGTGTGATATTCCACCCGCAGGCTAGGCTTTAAGCCTCAAAGCGTCCTGCTGTCCCCGTCCTAGAAAATCTGAAGGAAACCTGGCCTGGTGGTGACACCCGTAATCCAGGCACTTAGGAGGCTGTGGCCGGGTAGTGAGTTCAAGGCCCGGCCTGGGCTACATAGTAAGGTCTTCTCTCTCTCAATCCATCTAGAGGCAAGCAGGCATCCAAAGGTCTGAGGGCTTCAGAAAGTTGTGCCTCAAGAAATCTACTAAGGGAATTACAAGGGAATCTACTACGGTTTGCAGACTGTAGCCTCCTGTCAGGGATGGAGGCGCAAGGGCTGCTGGTGGCTACTCCTACCCCAGCGAGTTCCTGGGAGATGTGAGACATACCTTCTCAGGGAGGTTTTCTTCCTCCTTGTCAGCCCTCACTATCCTTCTCCTGCCTCCTGTTTCCAACTGTTTGGCATTCATAACTTTTCCTGAAAAGCCCCCTCCCCCACCTCACGTCACCTCCGAGACCCTGCATGGATACTGTGCCACCCTGCCCTCTGGACCACAAGCTCGGTGCTGCTGAGCCCCCTGACTCCAGTGAGACTCTGCCAAGGACCACAAGCCGATTACTTGACTTGTCCTCTGAGGATCTCCCTGGTAGTCCCCACCCATGAACCCTTCCTTCTCCTTGTCCTTCCCTGTCCCCCATGGGGACCTCAACACCTGACCCTACAGCTCTTCCCTCAGGCCATGCCTGACTCCTGACTCCAATCTGAAAGCCACAAAAAAGGATTCTGCTCCAAGACCAACCAACCCTCCTGTGTCTTAGCCTGAGGTAACAGGACAGGGGTACTGATGTCTACTGTTCCCTTCAGCCTCTCAAGAGGTGGTTTGCTCTGTCATAGCTAATCTTGCCTGTCGACTTTATGAATTTGAAACCACCTAGGAGACACAGTTCTGGGTGGGTCTGAGGAGAATTTCTGAGACTAGGTTGATTGACGTAGGAAGACCCACCCTAGCTGTGGGTGGCTCCATTCCCTAGGCTGGGGGCCCAGACTGGATAAAAGGGAGAAAGTCAGCTGAGCACTGGTGTTCATCTCTCTCAGCTTCCTGACTGTGGGTGTCATGTGACCAGCTCCTCACGCCCCTGCTCCCATCCTTTTCCCTCTGGGATAGGCTGTACCCTCAAACTGTGAGCCAAAATCAATCTTTTCCCTCTTAATAAATAGCTTTTGTCAGGTGTTTGGTCACAGTAACAGAAAAGGTAGATGTCACCCTCTCCTTCCATTCTGTGGGTTTCCTAGTGCTAATTCTGAACCAGGTCCTAAGAAGCCCCCAGGGGCTCAAGCCCACCCTGTGCAGGGGCATCAACTGCATAATTCACAGCCTGGTAGTACTAAGCCATAGCAGTGAGGGATGGGGGCCGGATTTACTGAGAAAGAAATTGCTAAACACCAAGCCTTGAAAGGAAAGCAAGCCGGGGCAGCACAGGACAGGACCAGAGCACAGCTGCTCTGTGAGGGAAAGCAGAGGGAGGGGAAGGGCAGGTCTGGAGCCCATAGCTCAGGGAGAACTGGTGAGAGACCTTGAGAATACAGCTCTGCACCTGTACCACCCCCTTGGAAGGCTGCCTGTCTCCATTAAGGTGCAATAAGAATGATTCTCTGGGCTGAGGCTCTCCCTCCAAGCCGAAAGCTCTGTAATATGGCCAGAAATCTGTCAGCTTCCTGGAGAAAGCTCTCTGATGCGTCAGAGGCAGGTTCTGTCTGGTGTACAGGACCTCCATGGGGGCACCTTGGTACATAGGGTAGTTTTCTGCTGGCAACTTATGTCTACCCTTCTTTAGGTGAAGACACCTCTCTGTTACTGTAAGGTCACTTGTGGCACTGAGTATCAGCCTTGCAACCCAAAAGAGACATTTGTGAGGATCAGAGCCATTTTTCATGTCAGAAAGAGGGAGCAGGGGTCGCTGCTCACATCCACTGGGCCCAAACAGGAGAGACCCTTTAAAGGTCACCCACAGCGCTGACCATTCTCCACACAGGGCTTGTGAGCTCTGCAGTGGCAATATGGACATAGGTGGCCTCACCGGACACTTTGTCCATAACAATGGGCAGGTGACTGTTTTCCCACCTGGGTACAATCGAGGGGCAAGCCTTTCCCCGACCAGATCTAAGTCTCCTAAGCCCACCTGTGCGCTTTCTTAAACATTCCAGTCTCGGCCACAGCCCATCCTCAATACTCCACCAGCCTTGATAGCTAATCAGGTCCTTCCTCCTTCCCTACAACCAGGTGATCCTTCCCGGAGGAGCCCAGCCTCACCCCAACTGTGAAACTCCATCACCAAGTCACTGCCCCACGGCCTTAAAAGGACTTTGCCTTGCGGTGCTTTAATGAGCTTGGGTGAATCGTTTAACATCAGACGGAAGGAAGCTATCCAGGCCACCTGGTTCCTGCTTCCGGGAAACCAAAGACACACAGAGACGATCCCACGAAAATAGAAAGGAGCTCCTTGCATTTGTCACGAAGAATGGGAGAGCCGGCTCTTGGCAGTCCCAAGCTCCTGGTGGCAGTCTGGAGTGTGGCTAGGGCTCTTCCCATAGGACCTCCAAGAAATCGTGACACTCTGGTTCCTGGGGTCAACGGTCACCACCCCATCTGAACAGCCACACCAAGCCCATGTTTGAGTTCTGAAGTCTACTGGGGCCTCTGCTGCTGGCCTCCATCCGTGACAGCCTCCTGCAGGGGTGCAGGCCAGGGCACCCTCCTCGCCTCCCCCTAACTAGGTTTTGAGCTCGCCTCTGAAGGAACCCTGCTGGGTTTGTCTTGGAAAACAAGGCAGGCCCACGGATCCCTTCAGAGTCCAGCTTCACCCTTCCCAGGCGTTCTCTGCTTCTCTGACAACAGGAAGACTTCTTGGGAGCTGCTCAGGTTACCCCAAAAGCCTTCCTTCCTTCCTTCCTTGAGCTATCCCCCGCCTCGCCCGGGGCTCCCTCCCTCCGGCTCACCAGCCTTGGCCTACAGGGACCGAGCTCCTTCCGGTGCGTCCAAGGCTGCAAGGTTGCCCGGGTCGCCCAGCCCAGCCCCTAGCAACAGCGCTGACGGACGGTCATGAGCACCAATTGGAGAAGGGTCATTTAGAGGTGGAGCCCGAGTCAGATCTTAACCAATGGGATTGTAGTTCGTTCACAGGGAGTGGGCGGAGCCTGAGGGCGGAGAACTTGAGTCTGGACAGCCGAGCACCTGGGGATGGGTGACAGCGGCTCGGGTTCTGCAAAGGCTGTGCGTGGGGCTTGAGGAGGTGATGGCCTACAGGGACCGAGCTCCTTCCGGTGCGTCCGAGGATGCTGAAGGGCTGGGAGCGGATCGGGAGGGTATAAATGCAGGGAGCTGATAGAAGGGGGCTTCCAGCAAGGGAGCTGGGAGCAGAGTAGGGATGCCACGAGCAGAGGAGCTGTGAACAGAAGGCCTGAGCTGGGGATAGGCCCCCAGAACTAGGGTGGAAAAGCTGACCTCCTTACCTCCTGAAGTCCATTGCGCTGGCCAATAGAGCACTTGACACACAGAAGCAGATGCCGGCCGGTCTTGTCCCCAGGAGTGGGATAGCTTGCTGGCAGCCCTACCGGGCCTTTTCTGGTTCTGGAGACAGACAACGACAGAGGTAGGGTACAGGAAAGCTCCAAAATTCTCAGCAGTGACGTCCCCACTGTCGGGCAGCCTCTTCCTGCGAACCCCACCGTCCGAGTGGCGCAAGGGAACTCCTCTGAGTCCCCAACGGTAACAGAAGCTGCTGTCTGAAATTATAGCTGGAAAAAGGACACCAGGGGCCGGAGAGGTGGCAGAGTAATTAAGAACACTTGCTGCTCTAACAGAGGGAAACGGGAACCCACACTTCAGTTCAGGCTGCTTGTTAACTCCAGTTCCAGGGGATCCGACGCCCTCTCCTGGCCTCCAGAGGCATTGCACACACGGTGCACATGAAGCAAAACACCCACACATTTTTTATTATTTTATTATTATTATTATTACTGTGACACCAGCCCAGCTGAGTGTGGTGGCATACACTTGTAATCTCAGCACTCCGAGAGAATTAGACAGAGGGATTGCTGCAAGTTGGCGGCCATCCTGGTCTACACAGTGAGTTCCAGGCCAGCCTGGGATACAGAGACTGGAAGTTTTGAAAAGACGCTTAGAGAAGCGAGAGCAAAAGAGAAAATGGGCATCTTGCTCCCCCTAGTGGATTGAAGTCACATGTCCACCAGAAGCCATCTGCCTTTCGCTCGGCCAAGCTCCACCTAGCGTTTGTTCCCAGCATTCCCCAGGCCTTGGGAATGAAGAACAGCAGTCCTGACCTTGCTTGAGACATCTTGAACTGACTTGACCCCCAACCTCCTACCAGCCCCTGCGAAAACCACCAGAGTCAGTGGGCGGAGCGTGGAGCTGACGTCAGGCTCCGCGGCCATCACGCGGGAGTGAGGCTGAGGCAGCCAGGACAGCCTTTGGGTCCTCCAGGGCATCATGGGTCACCGTGAGTCTGTGATATACGGAAATGTGTCAGGCCTCTTCCCTCCCCTTAGCACCCTCTTCCTTCATTTACTCCCCACCTGGCTTGCGTATACTAAGGGGAGAGGGTGGGACGGGGGCGTGGCTGTGGATGTAAGCTGGGGGTTGAGCGAGTGACACGGAACGGAGCTGGGATTCGGGGGCTACTAGCAAGAAACCAGAGAGGTTATAAGGATCCCAACGGGATGTCTAGGATTGAGAGTTCGCCCAAGCATGCTCATTTCTATGTCATGGCTCAACCACCTTTCCAGGCCTTTCATAATCGGATGCCAGGGCCCTGTGCTGAGCCAGGGTTCAGAGAGGTTAAGTGACTTTCCCAGGAACACACAGCTGGGACACAGGCAGTCCTGGTGCCAAACTGAGGGCTCGTTCCATTGCAACCTGGCATGGTGACTTGGCAGTCATTTCCAGAGAAGAGACTGCTCTGTGGGTTTGGATTTTTGGAGCTTGTTGTTACTGTTGTTACCTCATATACCACAGCGTGCACTGTCAGAGGACAACTTGTGGCAATCGGTTCTCTCCGTCCACGGTGTGGGTGCTGGGATTGAACTCATGTCCTCAGACTTGGTGGCAAGCTACTTTACCCACTGAGCCTGGCCCTGTGGCTTTCCAGTGCTTGCTGTTATTCTGAGATGAGAGGTCTCCAAACTTTCAGTCCTGCCTCCACCTCCCAGGCGCTGGGGTGACAGTCCTGTCTAGCCTTGTTTCTAGAGTCCCTGTGAGATCTCCTAGTGGTGGGTAGGGGATTCTCATGAAGTAGCAGAAGCCTCTGAAAACGACTTCTGAGAATGGCTCCATCTTGGGATTCGGCTGCACTCTGAGGCAGGTGACCCAGCACGTGCGTCCTTCTCCTGGGCAGAGCCCTGGCAGAATTCTGCACAGAAAATGCCCGATACATAGGACAAAGGTCACAGCTCAAGGTATCAGAACCAGATATGAAAGCTATGGGAAGGGGTCTCTTTCTGCACCCTCATTCCTGGCCGCTGCCTACATGTGTTTTATTGCTCTGCCCACCTGGACCACCCTGCAGCCTCCTGTCTGGCCCGCTGCCATCCTTCCTCTGTGTCTTCTCAGTGGCCGGAGCCATCCTAATGAAGCTGTCATCCGGCCAACCCTTCCTGAAAGACTGTCAAGGCTTCCTGCTGTGGTTCACAAGACCCACCCACCCCCCCTTTTTTTTTTCAAATTCACCTGTCACCAAATTGCTAATGTCAACCAGGGCTGCCCTCCTCCCTCCATGACAACCAGCCTCAGCGACCGCCAGAAACTCCTCAGCCTTTCCTTTCCCAGCTTCGGCCTCATTCAAACAGTCCCACACCGCGGTGGTCAGACCTTCCCATCCCGTGACCCCTGAACTGTCTTCTGCATCTCCGTTACCTCCGTTAGTGTTTGGTCTGGCTCTACTTCTTATCTCTTTCCCATAAAGACACCTGTCAGCCCTGCGGCTGTCCCCTCGGCAGCACCTAGCCATCGGGATGTGACCGATGAGACATAGTGCGACAGGCAAGCCTGCTGCCTAGAGTCAGTACAGAAGGGACCAAGCAAAGAGAGCCCATGGGCTTCGACAGGTGGTTGGGAAGCCACCAGCCATGTGGAATGTGGGAACTTAAGGCCAGTAAGAGGCTACCACCAAAGGGGACCATGAGGTCAGAGGTAGAGGGAGACCTGGGCGAGGCTCAGACAGAGCAAAGTTACATGCTCCCAAAGACGGTCCTGTCCTAATCGCTAGCCCATGTGCATGTGTTGTCTCCCATACCCAACGACCTCTGTGCGTGGGAGTGAGGCCAGGATTGTGATGGTTTGCATATGCTTGGCCCTGGGAGTGGCCCTGTTGGAATGGGTGTGGCCTTGTTGGAGTGGGTGTGGCCTTGTTGGAGTGGGTGTGGCCTTGTTGGAGTAGGTGTGTCACTGTGGGTGTGAGCCCTCATCCTAGCTGCTTGGAAGTCAGTATTCTGCTAGTAGCCTTCAGATGAAGATGTAGAACTCTCAGCTCCTCCTGCACCATGCCTGCCTGGATGCTGCCATGCTCCCGCCTTGATGATAATGGACTGAACCTCTGAACCTGTAAGCCAGCCCCAATTAAATGTTGTCCTTATAAGGTCATGGTGTATCTTCACAGCAGTAAAACCCTAACTAAGACAAGGACCTTGAGATGCAGAGAGTTTCTCAGATGGCTCCAGCCTCTCAGGAGGACCCAGATCATGACACTGTGAACATAGTGTTTATACCTGCAAGCTCTGCTCTCAGGAGGTAGAGGTGGGATGATCAGATGTTCGAAGTCATCCTTATCTATGTGAAAAGTTAAAGGGCACTGTGGAATGAGACGGCTCTCTTGTAAACAAACAACAAAACAAACAAACAAACTAGCTGGGCAGTGGTGGCTTGTGCCTTTAGTTCCAGCACTCAGGAGGCTAAGGCCTCCTCTTGAGTTTGAGGCCAGCCTGCTCTATAGAGTGAGTTCCAGGACAACTAGGTCTACACAGAGAAACCCTGGCACAAAACAAAACAACAAAACAAAAAAAAACCCTCAAAAACAAAACAAAAAAAACAAAACATCACAAAACCAACCCTCACACACACACACACACACACACACAAACAAACCAACAACAAACAAAAACATGTGCTGGGGGTTCAGGGGAAGAAAGGGGAGACCCTGTACCCACCCTGCTGTAGACCTTAATGGACTGAAATTGCTCTCAATGTAGTGACTCTGGGACCTGGCTGTTTACAGGTTGACAGAAAAAAATATATAGGAAAAGCCTTGGGGTGGGGGTGAGGGACCCTTTTAGGGGGAAGCAGTCAATTCTAGTCATCCTCAAACAGGACTGAGGGGCTTGGTAGGAAAAGAAGACATCCCCCAAATGCTATCCAAGGTCAGTTAAAATGGGATGCACCAGCTCTGTGTCTAACTCAAGGTGCAGACAGAGGCTGCTGCTCAGGAGTCCTGACCTTGCTCTGTAGGGTTTTCCTCCCCCCTCCCACTTCCCCCCCCCGCCGGGGGGGGCGTCCCACCCCCACCAGAAGGCAGGAGACAGGCCCCTCCACTTTCTGTACCACAAGAGCTTTGAGAGAGCTCTTCCTGGGTACAGCAATGCCATATAGCCTTGTGTCCACAAGGTGGCGCTCATGCTTGCTGCAAAATAAATTGCTAGAGCACTGTCTCAAAAAACTAACAAGGCCTGTAACTCCAGTTCTCAAAATCTACACAGGTAGATCAAGGTTTGATGCCAGCCTCGGTTACATGAACTCTGTCCCAAATCATCACTATGATAGTTTTTAAAAATAGAATGCAGTAGTGGGGGTGGGGGGAGTAGGAGCACCAGCTTGTCCACAGGATCCAGGTTTGATTCTCAGCACCCACATGGCAGTGTAGTGATGAATTTGGAGTTTTAGTTTCTTTGAAAAACACAGAAAAATTATGGGAATATGTTGTCATTTTAATCCCAGGTATGAGATATGGGGCTGCTTCAGGCTGTCCACAGAAGCTGGCTGTGATTTGTCCAGTGCTCTGGTAACTTGGTTTTGCCAGCTGCAGATAGTTTCTGCGATTGTGTCATGTTTGAAATTCTGGGGACCTTTTAGAGGGTATATAAATACTAGCCGCCCCCAGACACGGTGGTTTGGTTGTTGATTGGTTGTTGGTGATAGTGGTGGTAGTTGCTGTTGGTATCAGTTTGTTAAGCAGTCGTGTGCACAGAAGCAACAACAAAAAGAAATTAGATATCCTGACAGCAAAGATCAAACTTGCCCCAAGGAACTCGATGGCCCTAGTCAGCAGGAAGTTGTCTAACGATAATGTTGCCCCCTTCCAGATCCCCGACTTTATTCGGGGGGGGGGGTCTCTCTCTTTCCCTCTCCATCCTTTTCTCTCGCTGAAAGAGTGGAAGAAAAAGGGTGGAGAAGGGTGGAGGAAAGAGGAA